GTTGGTCCAATTGATAAACCACCCAAGCCTCCCGTCGGTCCAATTGACAAACCTCCCAAGCCTCCAGTTGGTCCAATTGATAAACCACCAAAGCCTCCAGTCGGTCCAATAGACAAACCACCCAAGCCTCCAGTCGGTCCAATTGACAAACCTCCCAAGCCTCCAGTTGGTCCAATAGACAAACCACCCAAGCCTCCGGTCGGTCCAATTGACAAACCTCCCAAGCCTCCAGTTGGTCCAATTGATAAACCACCAAAGCCTCCCGTCGGTCCAATTCACAAACCACCCAAGCCTCCAGTCGGTCCAATAGACAAACCTCCCAAGCCTCCAGTCAGTCCAATTCACAAACCACCCAAGCCTCCCGTCGGTCCAATTCACAAACCACCCAAGCCTCCAGTCGGTCCAATAGACAAACCTCCCAAGCCTCCAGTCAGTCCAATTCACAAACCACCCAAGCCTCCAGTCGGTCCAGTTGACAAACCACCAAAACCTCCAGTTGGTCCAATTGACAAACCTCCCAAGCCTCCCGTTGGTCCAATTGACAAACCACCAAAGCCTCCCGTCGGTCCAATAGACCAACCTCCCAAGCCTCCAGTCGGTCCAATTGACAAACCTCCCAAGCCTCCAGTCGGTCCAATTCACAAACCTCCCAAGCCTCCAGTTGGTCCAATTCACAAACCACCCAAGCCTCCAGTCGGTCCAATAGACAAACCACCCAAGCCTCCAGTCAGTCCAATTGACAAACCTCCCAAGCCTCCAGTCGGTCCAATTGACAAACCGCCACCCAAGCCTCCAGTCGGTCCAATTGACAAACCACCCAACCCTCCAGTCAGTCCAATTCACAAACCACCGAAACCTCGAGTTGGTCCAATTCACAAACCACCAAAACCTCCCGTCCGTCCAGTTCACAAACCACCCAAACCTCCGATGAGTCCAATTTATAAACCACCCAAGCCTCCCGCTACTCCCATTTACCAGCCACCAAAACCTCCATCAGCTCCAATTTACAAACCACCGGTTGAAGTTCGTAAGGCCACCAGTGTCAACTAAAAGGCCATACCTTCCGCCACCATATCCATACAAACCTCCCAACAAGCCACCTACATCCAACTGAGTTATGTGTTGAGGTAAGTTAATTACCAAAAATAAGAGGTTTTGGCAACCCAAATGTTGTATGCTTTTTAGCACTCAAGTGCTCATCTTTCTTTTGTAAAGCAGCAATGGGTGGCCATTTGGCAGTCGTGTTTGCCTTCTTTCTTTTCTCTCTCTCTCTTTTTTTTTTCCCTCATGTTTCTACTTCTTTTAAAATTTACCCACTTCAAATCCAATGGAACTTAGTCTACTCTTTCCATTTCTTCGTGGTCTTCTCGAGTGGATTCAAATTGTGAAGTCTTATAGACATGAGTACTTGTTTTTTCTCTTTCTTATTTTACGAAGAATCTTTAGTGGATATGATACGATATTAAAATAAGAAAAAAATTTCTAAATGAGTTAATGATCCTCGTCTCAAAGAAAAAAAAAAAAGTGCAATAGTACACCTATGAAAAATGATTCGAAAATGACCCGAAAATGAAAGTGTTTAAGTTTTGTTTTTTTACTAAAGATATGTGTCAAATTCATCAAATTTGAACGTTTCTTAGAGATTCAACACTATCATCAGCAAACAATCATACTCTTTAAATTTTGCGCAAAATGATAACAAATATAGTTGGAAGAAAGTAAAATTTAATCCAGTTCTGATAAATTTTTTATAAATAATTTTAAGGTAAATTCTAACCTTATTGGAACCAAATTTACAATAATAATAAAATAGCATAACAATAGTCAAGAGTCACGTGACCTTGTTACATATAGGCTTATAGCACTATTTATGTTACATATAGGCTTATAGCACTATTTCATAGATCTAATGTTGAAAAAAAAAGTGTTAGATTTATAAAATATGTTAAAAGAACTCGTATTAGTTTGTGATAATTGTGAGATCCCACATCGGTTGAAGAGGGGTCCGAGGCAACTGCTAGTAGATATTGTCCGCTTTAACTCTTTACGTATTGCCGTCAACCTCACAATTCGTCTTACTATCATTGTGACTTTGTCTTTTCTTTCCACGATCAATTTTCTTCTTCGTTATAAGTGAATTTGATAGTGGTGTAGAGATCTCACCATTCTATTTTAGATATGAAGAATTTTCAAATATATATGGTAGTGGGAGACTTGTCAATGACTCAATCTCTCTTTCTTCTCCGTCCCCAGTGGACAACATCAAACCTGCAGGATCTCACAACCTGATTTAAAATCTAAAGAATTTTCAAATATTAACGATGAAAGGATCGTAGCCTATAAGAATGTTGTTCGAAATTTAGAGAGGGGAGAGTCGAGAAAATTAGAGGTCAATTATAAAACTCTATTTCGAAATTTAGGTCTAATTTTTTAGGTCACTCGGTCAAATTTCTCGTGATCTTTCGTATAACAATTGAAGGAAAAAACGAAGCAAACTAATTGGATATAATTTATACATTCACACTAAAATACAACAAAAAAAAAAAATGAAATTTTGTTATTTTTCACTTGCTTGAAAAATGCAAGGAAAAATTATGGCTAAGGTAGCTATTTCTGGTATGGGTCTGGTTGTTCTAGCCTTTCAAATAATTTTTTATAATCTCGAGATTTCGGGTCGAGATGCTGAGCGGTAATTCACCATGGCCGGAGATTCTCAGATAGCTCCAAGAGTTCTTCCAAATAATCAGGGCCAAGATCTTCCAAAACAACCACATTACTCTCTGTTTTCCCAATTTCTTCTTTATTTTTGCTCTTTCTTCTTGATTTATTCCTCATAGAATGTTTTCTCTTCAAAGCAACCACCGGAGATTCACCGTCGCCGCCGTATGCGGCGGAGTTGATCATTTCCATCTCCTTGAGAGATTCCTGAACTCTTTCCACTGGAAAATTGAGAACGGCGGCGGCGCCCCGCATCGAGAAAGCGGCTTGATCATAAGCCAAAGCAGCCGCCTCGGCACTATCGAACGTTCCGAGCCAAACCCGAACTCCATGCCTAGTTGAATCCCGTATCTCCGCCGCGAATTTCCCCCATGGACGCCGGCGGACTCCTCTGTAGGATTTTGGCTTGTGGGGTTCTTCTTCTCCGAGCGAATCCACCTCCTCTTCCTTGATCGGATCCTGCCGGAGAGAATTCCCCGTCGGGTATGAGGTGGGCTCTGAGATCAAGTTGTGAAGGAGCATTTCGCCGGAATCATTCTCGTTAAAGAGCAGAGAGTTGTCGTTTTTTTGAAAAGCTTCCCATCGGAGAGATTCGAAGGAGCTCAAGGAAGATTCCGGCGAGAAATCAGAGTCTTGGCAGTGAAATAATGAAGAACTCATGGAAATTTTAGAAGAATTAATGAAGGGAAATTGTGGTTCATGAAAGGAGGAGGCACAACTCTGTTTCTTGGGCAGGAAGAAGTCTCCATTGGCGTTAAATAGATATCCTCACTGCTTGTAAACAAAAAGAAAAAGTTTTTTTTCGGGTTAAACTAAGTTTTAAAAACAGTGAGTTTGGACTCTTACAAATAGTATCATGGTCAATCACTGAACGGTGTGAGGTACTAGTCGGAATAGGGCTAGACTCTCTCCACAGTAAACACGTTTTAAAATCGTACGTAACAAGTCAAAGTCAGTGAATTTGTCTATTACAGGATGTCTAAGTGTGTGGAACTTCGATCATGCATAGAACTTATAAGCTCTTGCACGTTCTCGCTAACTTCCCACACACACCCTTATTGGCCTTTGCTCGCTCGTGCCCCCACATGTCTCTGCTCGTGTACCTTTATTTTATTATACTTTTAAGTCAATTATTTACCGGATAAATAAAGTGATTTCAAATACGTATATTAAAACTGAAGCGACCTAATTTAAACTCGACTTAAAATAAGATTGGTGGGTTAAAAAGAAAAGATAATAATAATTTAATAAGAAAAATGGAAGAAGATTTAATTGTAAAAGATGGGTCAACGGGTGACTAGACAAATTGGAAGAAAGGAGCACGATGACGTCAGCCGATGACTCGGATTGGAAGATGACGTGGCACTTAGCATTCAGTTCATGTAGACAAGTTTGATGGATGGGGAAGTGTTTAGAGTGACAGTTGGGGCCACATGTGATCCTCAACTGAAACCCACATTCCAAATCTTCTAGAAACTATCACATTATTATTAATTATTATTAATTTTGAGAGAGTTTTCTTTTATCTAATAATTTTCTAAACTTTTTTTTATTTTATGTTTAATTAACTAAATTTATTAGAGATCGATAAATTTTGCGTTTAATGCCTTTGTTAAATTAAAAAAAAATGTTAAATATGTCACGTATAATTTATGGACTTATATCATCTTTTTAATGTTAAAAGATATATTATATATATATAGAATCGAAAGTTTATAAATTTATCAATACTTTTAAAATTTCATATATAAATGAATGTTTACCGGGTTAATTATTTGACATTGTTCAAGTAAAAGTGGATGCAGGTTGGAAATTTTTTTTGATCAACTAGAAATTTGAAGTTAGCTGGATTGATATCGAGCTACTCGAATAGAGTTCACCACCCAACACAATTCTCTATTTTCGAATTAGGTTGGGTTAAGTTGTCGTAAGTTAGATAGTAACTTCTTTTTTTTTTTTTTTTTTTTCTTTGGTTGAGTGGCCTCGACCAAAAAAAATGTTAACCAGCAGACTAAACCGAATTCTTTTCAATTTTTTAAATATTCAACCAAACCCAAATGAAAAAAAAAAAAAATTAACCCGACATAACTTTTAGGATTTGAGTTAGATAATCTAAGTTGATTAGATTATCGAGTCATAACTTTTATGATTTGAGTTAGATAATCCAAGTTGATTAGATTATTGAGTCATATGAATACTGTGAGTACTTTTTGCTTTCATTTTCAAAAATGAAAATTTGAAGAAAAAAACTATGAATAGAAATGATTAACCAAATGCACATCCGTCACACGTCTCTTATCCTACTTTTTTAGGGAAGTGTAGGATGTAGATTCATGTGAAATGAGTCCATAAATTCTCCAAATTTGCTACACAACTTAAAGGATATGATTGAAAATGAGTATTCAAAATGGGAACATTTCTCTTTCTATATGTCTATTTTAAAAATCGTTCGTATCTCTGACAATGAAACTTCACCAACAAGAGAGCGTTTTATTATTTTTATCACTCCTTCATCGATATTTCTTAACTTATATGATTAATTACATCATTTTTCATGTTATTTTTTGTTTTTTTTTCTACAAAATATATGTTTGTGTATTTCATCTATCATCGTGATTAAAACATTTGTCTAACTCAGGACAAAAACTGGATAGTCGAATGATCTTGGGAAGGGAATCCATCTTCTTTCTTTATAATTTACCACTGATGAAGGATTCCTCAGAATTTTTTTTACTATATTCCCTCAACGAACTCAACTTCCACTGATAAGTTATAACCTCTCTGCAAGGTTCGTCCACGGATGGTGAGTCAAGGCTTAAGGCATCTCATCCTGTGTTAAGACATTATATGCCAACAAACTTGGCAGACACTCATGTTAGCATCAATAATCTAATTAGTTTCATGACATGAGGCACTTTGATGGGTAAAGTTTGAATCTTCAAATTAGGTGTCAATACCCATCAATTAGGGTAAAGTCTCCCCAAACATAAAAAAAAATGGAATGTTTTGACTGGAATTATTTAGGCCCCATATATTCACGTCACACACTCATATAGCGTGTACTTATAATGTTCAACCTTTTCATCATAATTTTTTATATCATAATAGAAATATATTATGATGTGAGTTGATTTTTGGTCGTGGCATGACCATTTTAATTCATGCTTTAAAATTTTAATTTAATTATAAAAAAAAAAAAACAAAACAAAACGAATTCAACTTGGTCAATTTAAAATCAAAAAAGTTGGATGGTTAAAATACTCTTAGTATTATCCATAATTGATAAAATTGAAAGCCATCTAATCAAAATATTAGGCTAAATATGTTTTAAA